TGCCTTAAGCTCCGTTCTCATTTTACACTCATCCCTTTATTGGCAACATCACCCATTCCCATCACTCCATTCATCATTCATACATCCAACAAACAATTACAGCGATGGCCAGAGCAGGTTCTGGGTGTTCTTCTGGGGTTTGAGACAAACAATTCCACATGGCTGCCTTTCCTAAAGTGTAAGCATATGTGCTCTGGGAGCATGATGGAGGGGACGTTCTGTGGGAAGTCCAGCAAGGCATTCTGCAGAAGCTCTTTACATTGCTTCAGCTTGGCCCTTTTCCTTAAATATTGCCAGGGATTTAGTACCAAATACATGCAAAACAATTACAGCAAAATAAACCTCTACAGGTTGAGTTTGCATCCTCCATTATCCCTTTCATCAGCCAGGCTTGGTTAGACACTGCTATGTAACAACAACAAATCTCAAGACATTAGTAGTTTTAAAACAACATAGGCTAATTTCTCACTCAGTCTACAAGTGATCTATGGGATGTTGGTGGGGGAGTGTGTACCATTCAGGTCTTCTAGGATCTGAACTTATGGGGCAGCTATCAGGCTGAATTTTGTGGCTGTTGTGTAAAAAGTCTGGAGGTTGTTGTGGCAGGAATTAAATGCCTCTATCTAGAAGTAACACTTGTTAGTTTTGCTTGTTGCCTTGACCTTGTTGGAAGGCTGTACACAAGAGGCCAGAGACTGCAATCCCTCCATGTTTCTTACTAGAAGAAAACAGAATGAAATGTCTGATGAACAGCACTGGGAACAAGAACACTTTAACATGTATGTGAGTTTTTCCCCAGTTCCACACATGCAAAGCTTCCTCTCATGCTCTTACTGTGCTTCTGGGAGTTCTATTTGTCCTTACTGCTTTTGCCTGTCAGAGCCTAGCTTTCTCATTTAGATTGTACCATTAGCTTCAAATTCTTCTCTGTGCTTGATCCCTTTAAACATCACCTTCCCAACACAGTGGTCATTCCCATAAGACTCTTAAAAGTTCATCATCTCAACGTGGTGTGTTCAAACCTTTGACATGAGCTAGCACTCATGTCTGATCTCCACTGACTTCCAGCCTTCCCTCTAGCTAGCCATGTTTAATTTCTTTCTGCAAAGCTTGCTGTGTCTTTTGTTCTGTCTGGAAAATGTCTTGTTCCCTATAAACATCCCTCTTATTCCTCACAAAAGCTGTATTCCAACCCAGAAAATCTGTAATCCTTCTTGAAGATTTCCAAGGATGCTTTTCCCTAAGAAATACTTTCTAACTTTCTCAAATGGAATGATGACTGCTCCCTCAGTTTTAGCCAGGAGACCATCCTATGCGTATCATTTTCAAAGCACATGGTTTGTATTTTTTAGATTTCATGTTTGCTTTATTTAAGTAATCTATGCACAGTTTGATGGCAGGAACATGTTAGTAAGGCATATGCTCTCAGACAGAATTCTCAGGCATTCTGTGGTAAGCCAAGAACATGTGGAGATACATAGATTAATAGAAATGGGCTAATAATTAAGAGAGAGCTAACCAATAAGAAGCATGAGCCATCAGCCAAACAGTTTATAATTGATATAAGCCTCTGTGTGTTTATTTGGGACTAAATGGCTGTGGGACTGGGCAGGACAGAAACTTCCATCTAAATCTATCTATTGTTCAGAGTGACAGTTGTGTATTATGTGTGTGTCTGTGTCCTAACTCTGTTCTTGGGCAAGTTAGCCATCATAAAATTCAGTTGATTTCTCTGTGATACTCTTTGAGGAATGCTTAAATGGGCTTGACTCATTTCATAGACTGGTTAGACATTCAACTCAAGTGAAGGTTCTTGGCAACCAGTAGTAGTTCCTTACGACAACTATAACAAATGATCATACCCTTGGTATCTTCCAGCATGCCTCTGTTATCTTAGAGTTATGAAGGTCAGAAATCCAAATTAGGTTTCACTGTGAAAATTACTTCTGGAAGTTCTAAGGAGTAATCCATTTCATTGCCTTTTCTAATTTCTAGAAACACTGTCTAATTGAGTCTCACATTTTATGGCTGACACACACAGCTTTATGCTTAGAAGGACTACTGTGAGTATATTAGAGTCTGTTGAAAAATCCAAAATTATGCTCTAACTTTAGATCCTTAGTTTAATTGCATCTGCAGTGCCCCTTTGTCATGTAAGATATACAAAGCCACACAGTCATAGGTTCAGAGAACCAGGATGTACCCACTATAGAGGAAGCATTATCCTGCTGACTTCTGTGTTCTTTCTCATTACAAATCATTGTCATCAAGTGGGAATTATTATTAGAGCTACAGTTACTTCTTCAACCTTGTTAAATTATTTTTTGTTTTAGAGCCAAGACACTTATGAGCCATACATCCTAGATGTAATTTACTATCTACTGATAATTTAGCTTGAAAGAGCCATGGTGTTTTCACTCCAAAAGTGCGTTAAATGCTTAACCTTTAAAATCTACCCATTTTGTGATGCTGGGGAACACACTATGGTAAAAGAAAATTGAGATTTCAAACTATCTTAATAGTACTAAGAAACATTCTGTTGCTGCATAGAAATGACTAACAGCTATTGAGACATTACAATGAGGTAAGAGCTGCTTAAGTGTTCATACACAACCATCGACTAGTGAAGTCTTCAGAGCGAGCCTCTAAATTTTAGAGTGCTTCTCTTTTCCTTATTTTATGACCCTTGAGAGTTTGCCCAACTAAGGGTAGAAAGTGGCAGAGATGGGATTTTAAAAGTAAGGTGAGCAGTCTGCAGACATTATACTGTTAACTCCAGCACCATGAAGATCAGAATGGAGACAAGGATGGGTGACTTTGGGAGAATGCACTGGGTGGGTGCTCTGGGCCCCTCGTGCTCAGTGTCTCTGCACTCCTCACCATGGTCCTGGCTGAAATCATTTTGAGTATTGTTGACGTCTCATTTTTATGTTTTTGAAAAATGCTTACTAGGTGGCGACCAGCCATGTTGTGAGTGTTCAGTTTCCAGAGATACTTAAACAATTTTTTTCTAGGAAGTTCCAACTTTTAAAAGTGCACCCTTTAAGCCTCCCTCAGATCTCACCATCTGCTCCATCTTCTTCTTTTCCATCCCCCCTTCTCTTCTCCATCCCCTTCTTCCTAAATATCCTTCAGGAATGTCAACTTCAGCAACTGTCCAATATTATATTTCTCTGTATTCTGACAAATTGCTTTGCCGCACAGAGCTAAGGGACAGGAAGCTGCCTGTTAATTTTAAAGAAATGTGTTTTCCAAGTTAGTGTTTTCCACAAACACCATTGTTTCCAAGGACTTCCTAGGCCATGCAGATGCTAGTAGCATATTCACCACCATGTTGAGGTTAAAAATATAAGCAAGATTATTAATAAGACTAATGATTACAAAAATATTAAGAACAACTGTTGAAGCAGTTCATATGGCAAAGGAACCCATTTTAGTAGGATTACTCAGAGGTATAGATGTAAGGAATAGGCACATGCTGGAAATATGTTGTGGGAGCTTGCTGGCTACTCAGAGTTAGCATGGTAAGAATAATCTTAGTGGATCTTTTTTATACAACCGCATTGACAGAATATGTTATCTGAAAAATCTATGCAGAAATAAGCAAGGAAATGGAGTCATTAACATAGAAGTAAAATTGCAAGTAATGACAAAATATATGAAATTAGGGTCAATAAACTCAGATTATTAACTGATCATATTCACAGGGAGTGACATGTAAGATTCTTGAACTTTTGCAATGCATCCTATGTAATAATGAAGCTTAGATGTGCATTTTTGTGTGATCTGTGATAGTTCTGAATCATTTGAAAATTGAGAACAGCAGAATGGATGCCTTGCTTGTCCACACGAACCTGACGCTTCCTCACAGCCACTCATGGTTGAAGAGTGTGTTACCTGCATCACGAGGCTTGCTTTGTTTCCAGGTTTTATTTAGAATCCTTTGGCAGCTGAAGCTGTTGACCTTAGTTAGCCAGGGACAGCTGCTTTGCTATTTTGATTTGGAGTTAATGTTTTCCTCAGGCAGAGAAAACCTTCTTTTTCATAGACTGATGGTAAATATTGTATTTATATTTCCTTTGTGTTTAATGGTTCATGGGAATATTTAGAAAAGTGAGATCCAGTTAGATCCTTAGCTGAAAATGCTTTTTAGAAAAAGTTCTCCCTGGGAGTTGCTAAGGAAGGGCCAATATCACATTCGTTTGTTGTCATTGTCGGCTTGACTACAGTGCTGTGCTCTCAAAGCAGAGTCTCCCATCTGTGGTCTTAAAAGTTCTGCCTAAAAACAAACAAGGGAATTATCAATAGCCTTCTATTTGGTCTTTGTTTTGTTAATGTGATCAGTTAGTTAATAATCTGAGCTTATTGACTCTTATTTTATATATTTATGTTGTTTTGGTTATAGATGAAAGTAATTTACCTTTTCCATTTATTTTGTGTTACAACTGAAGTTTAATTCTTTTTTTGATTCCTATATGTTCTGTAGTAAATTAATCTAGTTATTTTTGTTTATTCCCAAATTTTATTAAACCCTTGAGACATATAAAGCTGAAAGCAAGCAGGTCTTGCTGCCTTTGGGTGGCAGGTATAACATAGAGTCATGTGGATTGTGTGTCCTAGGTCACGACCATGTGATGACGTGTGACATAGAGAGACTGAGACAGTGGGTAAAGAACACTATTGGACTCACTGTGTTTTATTTATAGTGAGACTAAGCTGGGACAGAATTGTCCCACATTCTTTGTGTTCCAGGTACAGCCATACTAGAGAAATTGAGGTTACCTTGAAAGCTGTCTGATTCATGAGAGAAGAAACAATCACTCACCACTGTCCCCATGTAGATGCTGGTCCTAGTGGCTGCTGTCTTGCTTTTTGTGTTTGCCTGGGTAGGATGATAGATGGGTAAATAGCACTAACATTTTCTTGATGTTTGCTTTTATTACGAATAAATACTTTGAGAAATGTTTAAAATATATTTGTATATATATTTTGTCTTTCAGGAACATTACACAAGGTTTATTTTAAATCAAATGACAGTGAACCTGTAGTCACTGATGATGAAGTTCAAGTTCCTGGTGTTTTCTTTGTAAATACAGTATATAATGAGAGCACAGGGGCACCCACTATGGCCCCCAACCCATCCCCTCCAGGCTGGACACCTAGAGCGCCTCCTCTCGATGGGGACCAGAGTCACAGGAATACAAGTAAGTCTGAAGTTGCTGGACACAAATGCCTTTGTGTCTGTGACAACTGATGCTCTGAAGAAGTCACACTCACAGGTCACATGGTGAGAGCCATTCATTCAGAAAGCCTAGCCAAGTGCCCTGTCCTTTAAGTCGGAAATGCCAGCAGTTCTGCAGGCAAGACTGAGACAGGATAGGAAACATTAATGAGTCAGCCTTTCTGAGCCATAGCCTATTGCAAGAGTTGCTTGCCTCATTATGATCCTTATGCTAAAGTTACTTATTTAGAACTTATCAAGTTTGTAAGTACATTCACTTACTGTGTTCTCAGGAACTTGCTGGAGAAACTCCCCATCCATACAGGAAGAAGACAGCATGACTAAAAACTTACCCCTGTTTGCTGTAGAGGTGTGACTGTGTTCTTTGTCTCTTGCCTCCATCTTTTATTAGTGGTGACAGTTACTTGACAACTTGGTGCCTGAAAACAATCACACCTTCAGGAAAATGGCGAGTGCTGAATGCCTGCTGGGTGAATTTCAAGGGAGGAGTTTATTAGTATTTCCAGAAAAAGCTGGGCCAGACAGAAAAGAGAACAGTGGAGACATACTCTGGAATGTGACTTGGTCCCTAGACAGCCCAGAGACCTTCCATAAAGTTACTCCACTTCCAGAAGGCCTAGTTGGATGAGTCTGTGTGCAAAGGCCTTCTCAAAAATACAAGAAGTATGAAGCCTCTTTCTGAAGTTGTTCTGCCTCTTGTTTTTTTCTTTTTTTATTCCCTAAAGCAAGGTGATGTAATTCAGAATGATATAAAACCAACCCATTCCTAATCACATTGCTACCTCTCTCACCATGACACCCACAAGAGGAAATCACATCCTAGTCTGGGCCAGTGTGTTTATTTTCATTCTGAACTAGGAAGGGAACGCTTAAGTTGACTTTTAGTTATCAAAGTGTGGATTTGCGAGCACTTGAGAAAAAGCAGAATTATTTTGTTACTCCAAATTCTAAGAAGACAGACTGCTTCGATTTCACCATTTCACAGTGTACCCACAGGTAGTTACCCATCTTTTACTCTGTTCACCAGCAGTCCAGATGCAGGCCTGCTTACGACCCCACAGCAACATTGCAAAGCAGAATTACGCCACGTTGAAATTATTTTCCTTGGGAGTTTAATTTTGAGGTACTATATTTTGCTCAAGCACTTTATTACTCCCATCAGAAGTGTTTTCCATCAGAAGTGAAGAATCCATTTACATAAAAACAGCTCAGTTAATGTGGTCTCAATTACAGCCGCTGTTCTGCTCCTCTATGTGGATTTGTCTGTAGTTTCAAAGTCCTGTCATTCATTAAGATTAAAATAAGTTTGATGAGCATATACATTGGAGAATACAAAACAAAACAAAACAAAATAGCAACAGCAAAAAACAAAACACAGGGTGCTTGCTGTTCAGTTTGGGATTTTGGTAGAAATCTGACATTTTCTCTTCCCCTGGCTGGATACGATCTTGTTTTGACATGTAGATGAAATCCAGGTGAAATTACAATGATTAAATGAATAGACACTGAAGCCTTTCACACTTTGTCCATCTGTGTTGCTCGTGGGCTTTACTGCGAGCTACTGGACATGGAAATTCCCAATATGCTGTCAACATTAACTGGAGCCATTGGTCACCAGGAGCTTCTGTTTCCAAACACTCTAATGAAAGTGCCAGTCTAAGCTTGTGGAGGGTTTGATGGTTTTTCAAGGCATATTTAGATGTGAGCCCCATAATGAATGGATGAGAGTCAGAGGATGGGTAAGCACACACTTCAATTTTTAAGGCATAAGATCAAATTGACATGTCTAGCATCATTTGCTTGGTAATAGGTGTCTGTGATGTCTCGGATCTCAAGACTCCTGAGCTAGTGCTCTCCGATGTTTCCTGATAGAATTTTCTTGTTTCTTTTATAGTGTTAAGAGCATTACTGCACATATCTCAGGCTCTGGGAGATTAGAACAAGTCATCTACTTTTGGCTTCTTTTGTTTTCTTTTGGTTTTATTGATGGATAGCCATGGTATTCTGATACAAAAGCAATGACTTCAATGAATAGGTGAAGTATATTCACTGAAAATGTGAACATAGGATTTGTCACTCTTTTTAGTGGCATCTGATCACACTTCTGCTACTTGATCTTGTTTAACCAACTTTAAAGTGACAATTAGTGTCTTCTTTTTATAATACCATCTCGCAGGAAAATTGTTTTTCTTTTTCCCTGTTTTTTTTTTCAGTTCTCCAATTAAGAGATTTAAAATTTTTTTCTGGCATATGTAAAAGCTATTTAAGTGTACTTTGGTCCCAAAATGTCATAACCAGACATTCTACCTGGATTATTTGGCCAGCTCTTGTCCATAGGTAGTCAGAAATAGTCTTGCTTCAAGACACTTCTTCGTGGGGATCCTCGTATCATGCCAAAGATGAGAATTCAGTTACAAAGTGTTGACTAGAGTGTACCTTGTAACTGTGCTTCACTAAGTGGCACCCCGCCTTTCTGTGTGTGAGGTGCTGTGATGTGATAGGCTGTACCTCTGGGGTTTCCTTGCCATCTCTGTGAACTCCAAGGGCAATATAGAGAAGGAAGTGACCCACCATAAACTTTAATGCTGTATTTCAGCATGAGGTTTTTCTAGGTTACATGCAATATCTGGGTTTCAATTTATAACGTTTTCTCTTTACATATGTTATAAATATTTAAACACGTGTTGAAGGAAAGGGAAAACTGGCTAACAAGAAAGCTGGGATCACAGACGTCATGGTTTACCCTAAAGTAGCCTATGTGCCCTGGTCAAGTGTTCGAAGGTGGATTGATGCCCTGAGAACTTGAAGTGTTCTGTCCTTTTCTCAGATCTCTGGTAGCTAAGCCACTAGATGTTCTATTTCAGATAAGAGCACGTCTTCCTTTTCACTCATTCCCTTCTTAAAAACAACGGCTTTTGCAAAGCAAAACTGAAGGAAAAGGACATAAAAGTGGCATAGGAACTTGGTGGGGGGAACAGTGGGGTACAAAAACACATAAGAGAGGGAGGAGCGATGTCTATGAGCAGAATACATTCTATACAAGGATAGAGTTGTCAAATAATAAATCAGTAAAGAAAGTAACTATTCCTGAGGTGTCATAAACACAGTAAGTCCACCTTTTCAACATGTATGATTCAGCAGTTTTTAATGTATTCATAAAATTTATAAAGTTATGCAATTATTACTACATACTAATTTTACTTTTTTCCTGCAAAAAGGCTGTATCTGTTGCTCTGTGTTCCCTTTCAATGCAATCCCTAGCCTAAACTAATCTAATTATGTCTCCATGGATTTGTTCATTTTGAAATCTGCAGGTGGTCTAGCCTGAGGCCCATGACCTGCATCTGGCCAAAGATAGTTATGAATGTGCCTGAAAATTGACAGCCATCTCTGCAGCTCCCCAAGTTAGCATTTTATGAAATGCTTTTTGTAGTTCAGTTGTGTGAACTTTGTAGATGACAACATGGTGTCTCAATGTTAAAAAGTTGGGCACATGTGGGATGATATCAGGCCACACAGGTTTCTTTTAATATGCTTTCAGGGAGCATCCATATCAGGTATGATGACATCATATTCTATCAAACGGATATGTAACGTTTTATTTGCCTATCTACCTTCCACTAATAGGTATCTGAGACGCTCCCATCTTCTTAGTGCTCTTGAATTATATACTGCTGTGATTATTTGTGGTATGGACATGTGTTTCCAATTTTCTTTGGATAATAAGGGGAGTGGAAATGTGTTATTTCTCTAGTTCCTTAATTGTTGACTGTCTAGTTGTTCCATCCACTAAGAAGAGTGAGTGGGTACTGAAGACTCCAACTATAATCATCATCATCATCATCATTATCTTCCTCATCCTCATCACACCATCTTGCTCTTGGTTATTTTCTTGAATATTTCTTGGGCCTTGGGCTTGGGGTATATTTGAGTGATCTAAGAATTCCATGTAAAATTTTCTTAATTGTATGTTTTCCTTTAAGGGGTTATAAAATAATTTAAGCTTTTTCTAGATCACTTGGCAACTGAACTTATAACAGTTACCACCATAGAGTTTTTTTGTTTTGTTTTGTTTTAAGATTCTACACATGATTACATCACTGCTTACTTATACTGCTATTTGTGGTGATATATTATTTATGATTTATTAAAGCTTGCCTGAGGATTCAGAAAAAAATCAGTCTCAAGCTACAGAGATCAGACAGTGGTGATACACACCTTTAATCTTAGCATCCAGAAGCTAGCAGGTGGTGATACACACCTTTAATCCTAGGACTCAGGATTAAGAAGTAGATGGATCTCTGTGATCCGTTTCTACTCAAGATTGATCCAGTCCTAGAGAGAAACAGCCCACATGAATATGATCTCAGTACCTGGGATCACATGCCTTTAATCCCAGCATTGACAAGGTATATAAGACAGGAGCAAGGCCTCCGTATCAAGCGTTCATTTTCCAGCCACATTAACGATGGAAGACATTGAAGTCTCAGGATTCTCCAGCCACACTGAGGCTTGGTGGGAGCTCATGGAGACAGGACCAGCCCTTTCAGTCTGAGTTGGAGTAAGAGCTAGTGACCAGCAGCTTTGTTTTTTCTGATCTTTAGCTTGAAGTTTGAGGCCAAATATCTGTTTCTGGGTCTTTTATTTTATTTTTTTTGAGTTACAGTTTAATCATCCAATAGCTATAAGAAAGGAATGAAGCACATTGATTTTCTTCCTTTCAAAGACTAAAGTACAAGTGTTTGAAGGGTGCCTTTGTAGTAGCTCAATAGAGAAAACTGGCCACATAGCCACTTGGCCAGGATCAGCATGGTATAAGCTTCCTGAATACGTAACTTATGTTACAACAGCCAAATTTGTAATCGGATTGTTTTAGCATAACAATGAACATATTAATTAATTATTAATTAATTTAAATTTTATTAGAATTGTTTATATTTCCTTTATAATATCCAGGGGTTT